TCACCTCCAACACCATTATCTACCTCCACTCTCTCCTACCCCAACATCATCATCTACCGCTCCTCCAACACCATTATCTACCTCCACTCCCCCCCTAACCCAACATCATCATCTACCTCTTGTCCAACACCATTATCTACCTCCACTCCCCCCTACCCCAGCACCATCATCTACCTCTCCTCCAACACCATTATCTACCTCCACTCCCCCCTACCCCAGCATCATCATATACCTTACCTCAACACCATTATCTACCTCCACTCCCCCCTACCCCAGCATCATCATCTACCTCACCTCCAACACCATTATCTACCTCCACTCCCCCTACCCCAGCATCATCATCTATAACCCAACATCATCATCTACCTCTTGTCCAACACCATTATCTACCTCCACTCCCCCCTACCCCAGCATCATCATCTACCTCTCCTCCAACACCATTATCTACCTCCACTCCCCCCTACCCCAGCATCATCATCTACCTCTCCTCCAACACCATTATCTACCTCCACTCTCCCCTACCCCAACATCATCATCTACCTCACCCCAACACCATTATCTACCTCCACTCCCCTACCCCAGCATCATCATCTACCTCTCCTCCAACACCATTATCTACCTCCACTCCCCCCTACCCCAGCATCATCATCTACCTTACCTCCAACACGATTATCTACCTCCACTCCCCCCTACCCCAGCTCCTCCAACATCATTATCTACGCTCCCACCTCCCCTACCCGGCGCGCCCAACATCATCGTCCAATACCTCACCACCAAACACATTATCTAACCTCCACTGCCCCGTACCCCAGCATCAAATCATCTAGCTCTACTGCCCAAACACATTATTACCTCCACTCCCCCCTAACGCCAGCATCATCATCTACCTTACCTCCGAACGACGATATCTACCTCCTCCGCCTAATACCCCAGCATCCATCATCTACCTCTCCCTCCAACACCATTATCTACTCCACTGCCCGCCTATCCCCAGCATGCAATCCTATACCTTACCTCCAACACCCTATTATCTACCTATCTTCCTGAGCGCCCAGCAATCATCATCTACCTCACCTCCACACCATTATCTACTCCACTTCCCCTACTCCCGCATCAATCATCTTACACATCACCACTCTCAACAGCATTATCTACCTCCAACTCCCACTTACCCCAGCGATCATTACTGACCTCACGTCCAACACCATTATCTACCTCCATCCCCTACCCAAGCATATCATTATACCTCTCGCTCCAACACAATTATGCTAGCCTCCTCCACTCCACCCTAACCCCCTAGCATCATCATTACCCTCAACTCCACACACCATTCTCCTACCTCCACTCCCCCCTACCGCCAGCATCATCATATTCCTCTCCTCACCCCAAAAAACATTATCTACCTCCCACTCCCCCTCCCCAGCATCATTATCCTACCTCACGGCTCCAAACACGCATTATCTACCTCCACTCCCCCGCTACCCGGGCATCAACACCTCTACCTCTCCTCCAACCACCCTCATCCCAACACCATTCTCTACCTCCACTCCCCTACCCCAGCATCATCATCTACCTCACCCCAACACCATTATCTACCTCCACTCCCCCTACCCCAGCATCATCATCTACCTCACCCCAACACCATTATCTACCTCCACTCCCCCTACCCCAGCATCATCATCTACCTCACCCCAACACCATTATCTACCTCCACTCCCCCCTACCCCAGCATCATCATCTACCTCTCCTCCAACACCATTATCTACCTCCACTCCCCCCTACCCCAGCATCATCATCCACCTCACCTCCAACACCATTTATCTTCCTCAGCCCTATCTCACCTCTATCTCACCTCTATCTCACCCCAACACCATTATCTACCTCCACTCTCCCCTACCCCAGCATCATCATCCACCTCACCTCCAACACCATTTATCTTCCTCAGCCCTATCTCACCTCTACCTCACCTCTACCTCACCCCAACACCATTATCTACCTCCACTCTCCCTACCCCAGTGTCATTACCTACCTCCACTCTCCCCCACCCCCTACCTCACCTCTACCTCTACACTCCAGCACCCCATCCACACGCCTACCTTAATTACCCCCATGTCAGCATCTAATTCCTCACACAATCACCTCTACCTTACCCCCAACATCATTATCTACCTCCATGGTCTTTGCCCCTTACCGTACATCAATCTCAAACAATCAATCACTATCAATTACAATGTGGTACTTTTTAGCAGCCATAAGATAAATACACGCACGCACCGCACATGCACGCACACACGCACACGCACACGCACGCGCGCACGCGCTGCACGCGCACGCACGCACGCACGCACGCATGCACGCACTGCATGCGCACGCACGCACGCATGCTCACACACACACACACACACACACACACACACACACACACACACACACACTCGACCAC